GATCCCAAGAAGCCCAACACGGAGCGCGAGGAACCCAAGAAACCGCGGATTGATATCCCGGCAGGTGCGAACATGAAAGGGCCTGACGGAAAGCCTAACTGCTTTGCGTATAGCAGGGGCAATTGCAAGTGCCAGGAGAAAGAAAAGTGCGGCAGAGGAATGCACAGGTGTTGGTTTTGCCATGGTACCCACCCTGGCAAGGATTGCCCGTCGCGCAAGTCCGAGTGACTCTCGGAACAGCCTGGGGGGGCGTCGCTTAATAGGTGTGCTCCAGGAGGCAATGCATGTGTGTTTAAACGTAGTGGCATTCACGTCGAGGTGCCCGAGTTGAATTCGCTTGAACAAGTAAATTTTTCTGTCAGGCCTGCAGAATTACTCTTTGTGGAGCTGTTTTGCGGGTCAGCCCGCCTGTCGAAAGCAGTTGCAGAGGCAGACTTGAATGTGTTAGCGATTGATAAGGTTGCTAAGGCGAGGCAGGTGTCAGTCACGTGCTTGGACCTGACAACCACCGATCATCAAAAAGTTCTCTTTGAGTGCCTGTGCAAGGCCAACGTGGGGAGCCTGCACATTGCCCCGCCGTGTGGAACGGCCAGCAGGGCAAGGGAGATCCCAATGAATGAATCCTCGGCGATGCCCCGCCCTAAACCCTTGAGGTCAGCAGAGGACTTGTGGGGCGATTCCTTGCCTAGTTCACAGGTGGACCGACTCAGAGTGCAAGCGGCAAATACGCTGTACGTGGTGTCGGTCGTGGCTGCGTCCATTGCGGCTCGCAGAGGGTCCTTAGTTTCGGTTGAGAACCCGTCGAATAGTCACTTTTGGGCCCTTGCCGACCGCATCGCAGGTGAGCTAGGCTTGGATGGCGAGTGGGGCACCTTGCAAGCAACAAAATTCCACTCGTGCATGTGGGGGTCCAGCAGGCCTAAACTCACCACTTTCCGCGCCACGCCAGGTTTGGCGGACCCCTTGGCGAAAGAATGCGACAACTCACACACCCACGAGCCGTGGTCTCCGCTGCTAAAGGATGGGAAACCTCACTTCCCGACCAGTGAGGAGGCAGCCTACCCTTTGGAGCTGTGCAAAGCCCATGCGTTTAACCTCTGGACTCAGTTGCTTAAGAAAGGCATTAAGGCACAGGCGTTGCACTTGCACCAGGATGCGCTCGGGGCTAGGGACCTGCGACAGTTTACTGCCAAGCGAGTGCCGCCACTCTTGGGTGAATACTGGTTCATAGGGGACTCTAGTCTCGAAAAGTTTTTTCCGGATAGGTGCAAAAATGTGCAAGGATCCTTTCTTTTAGGGAAAAATGGGGATGAGGTTGCGATGCCAAAGAGTGACCAGGAAGCAATTGAAATGGAGACAAGCCGAGCCAGCAGGCCGAGTACAGTCTTTGTAATGCCTAAGGACAAGCTGCAACCGATGGTAGGGGTGTACCGAACACCCGTGCAAGCTATCGGGGCTGCCTTGACTTTGAAACATCCTTTGGAGTTCGCCACGCCGTTGCCAGACCTGTTGACGAGGTGCGTGGTGGATGTTTTGAATATGGGACCAGCAGCCTTGATCCAGTTGCGGAGCCAAAACCTTGCTTGGATTCTAGAACGGCGGATCGCTTTATCCAGCAAGGAGATTCAGGCGCATGCAGAGATGCACCCTGATATGGCAAGGTGCTTGAAAGGCAAACAAACTTGCTTGTGGGAAGAGCTGCTGCTGCACACGGGCTTCCCTGACGATTCCTTGGTGCGCGAGGTGCGCCAAGGGATAGAAGTCGTTGGAGCAGCG